TATATGTTTGAATTATTCGATATGTTCACAATATAGTTCTTGAAATAAGTTTCGAAATGATATAAGTAATTCGTAGATTCGATTAGCGTACGATCGTCGGAGAATTTTTAAAATTAATATATTCCGAAATTCAAATTTATTTTGATTTTACCCCCATTTGGTGGAGATTAAAAATCATATTTTTAGTATATTTTGATAAAAATTAAACAGTTATGAATTTCATTAAATATGTTATTAAAGTCAATTGTTAACTTTAATTTGGATTAAAATTAAAATTTCAATCGATACCAAATGTGATTTTATAAATAAAAAAAAAAAGAATCTCAAAAGTTGGGGGGCACGTGCCCCCCAGGACCCCCCGGGTCCGCCCATGCTTTAGCCCACTTTAGACTTCCAATTCCCAACTTATCGAACAAAAATTCTTTCACACACACATATTCACACACTTCACACAGTAGCTATATTCACGTAGTCAGATTTGCTTTAAAATCACGAGGTTTGTGTCTTAATCTGATGGCAATCTCGTGCTTATCTATGATTGATATTTTGAGTCCCACACGGAAACTCAGTAATTAATTAGTGTTTATTTGCTAATTACGCAATTGCAACGTGATTAAGGGAAGCCATCTGTTAAATTATTCGTCGCGATGATAACCACTTTTAATTTGGAACAATCATAGGCTAAAGTTTAGGTTGTATCACCATAATGTAAGAATCCGTGCAATTATGCAAACGAAAGGAATCCAATTTCCTTGGGAAGTTCATTAGCCGTTCATTTTCATCCTTTCAATCTGCATACATGTAAATCAAGTATAATTATTGAAATATGAAGGATACGGCCAATTTAATTTATGGTTTGCTAAATGATCATTTCCAACCACACATTCGCACAATAAAATATTTTACATGTATATAAAAAAAATTCTAATTTTTTAACCACAGATTCTCCTAAAAATACTATTCAAAATCCATTTTTTCTCAAATAATGATAATCAAACAGACTCTTAATTAGAGTTAGTTTTTGAATTTTTACACCGATATACAAATTTGAGTATAGTCAGTATAAATATAATCAAGATCCATATTAAATGTATTCACATGATTATAAAGCATCGTAATTTTTTTGTTGTTATTTGATACGAACATGAATTGTTCGTATCAAATTCTCGTCTCTACAAGTCTAATCAATCATGGATCACATTCATTCGAGCTAGTTGACATGATTAGATAAACTCTGGTTTAACTTCAACGAGTACAAATTTAGGAAAGTAAGATCTAACAAAAGTAGGAATAACATGTAAAATGAAGCAGCATAATAGGATCAGTGACAGAATATTAAAAAAAAAGGATAAATTTAAAGCCTTTTTGAATAATGTTTCCATAGTGCACACACTAAAATTTCTAGCAATATCAGCCCCACAAAATGTCTAATTTTGAACTTTTACTGAATTCGAGTTTTATTAAAAGAATAAACCTGATTTGAATTCAATTTTCAAACTAAAAATAAAAAAATGCTTACAAATTTCCTTAATCTTTCAGACAATTCTATTCCAAACTCACATGTTGCCGGCAACCCTGTACATTACGTACGTATCTAGCCTCGAAAAAGTCGCGCATGTTAATATTCCGAAGCTGTGGGCCAATAGCCCAAAACTTGCTTTATTTTAAATCTCAGCCCGCAATAACTTTTTCACCGGAAAGCGCATCGGCATTGGTCAAAAAAATTACAAGCCTAGAAAAATGTGAGAAAATGCAAATAAACATCTTTTCTTTTTGAATAATGCTACTTGCAGTCGCTCACTGCAGCAGTCGCCATATGTATCACACACATGTCAAGTGTGTATTTGATACATTAAATGTAGTAAAAAACTACCACATTAATGTATCAAATAACTACATGCCATGTGTGTGTCACATAGGACGACTGCTGCAGTGAGCGACTACAAGTAGCATTACTCTTTCTTTTTATAAGTCGCACATACTTTGTAATCCAATTTAGTTGGTTTAAATCTTTAATTTTCTGTATTTAATTACAATCTAACCAATAAAATCGAACTCCCTTTAATCTCACATATTTTATAGAAGGAAATTCAAATACTAGGAGACTTCACTAAAAGTTAAAGTAGCAGCTTTGCACAACAACATAGAAAGAACAAAGAGAGAATGGAATTGAGAAAAAAACTTATATAGAAAAACCTCAATGATGCCAAAATAGGGGAAATATAAACACTTACGTAAAATATGTGTCCAAATCCGACACGTGTATATTTTTTTTAATTTTTAATTACTATAATTTAGTTTAATACCGTGATATGACCCTCAATAATTGGCCAAGTTATAAAATATTTCAATCATTTATCTCATAATGGAGATATTGAATTTTAATAGTAAAGTTCCAACGTTCATAACATTCTTTTTCGTTATAGACCTTTTGATTATGTGTTTTGGTTTTATCATCATAAATGAATCTCATTCATACAATTCATTCACTTAGGTTACCTTTAACATATCGGATTAAATCTATAATGAATTTATTAAAAAATCTATATTGAAGAGACGATGAAGATACACATTGACATCTTTGTTTCACATTTCAGAAGCTATGTTCGTTCGCTTTACCCACAAATTGAATAATGCAATTGCAGTATAACTTTTGATGCAATCGCATTTATTCATATATAATTAGAAATGAACTAATTCCATATCAGTCAACCATTTGGATGTACGAAATCGTATCCTGAATTCGGAAGGCAACTGCCACGTGGTGCAAACCTCGTTCCTCGCAGTTGCTTCTAAGGGATTTTGACTTCGCCAATATTGCAGAAAAATACACGTATACGCATCATTCAGATAGTTTAATTCAAATTAAAGTAAATAGTTATTTTTAATTATATATTTTATAGAATTTATTAAAAATTTAATTTTAATCCCGGGAGCTTCATAATATTATAATAGACTACTAAACGAGTATAGCATTGACGAAAGAAATTAAGGCCCACAAATTGTTCTTTGTTTCGTTTGTTTGTTTCTATAATCTTCAACCAAATATTCCCTCCATTTCTCTCTCTCTCTCCCTAGGATTTGTCAATCAGATCACCAAAAACCGATCAATTTTGTTTTCTGGACCACTAACTCTTCCTTTCATATTATAATACTCTTTTGCTCCTTTTGTCAATTCAATTTTCTTTTGTGAATTGATTTGGAAATCATGGGACTGCTCATTCTTGATGTAACTCACGAGATTTCAATGGTTTAACCTCTCAGTCATTCGTTTCTTGTAAGTACGTTTTCTCTTCACCACCCTAATAACTATGCATTAATTTCACAATATAACATATACACTTGCGAGTTTCTGTTTTTGTGTGTGTGTGTGAATTCATGTACTGTATGTCCTTTTTTGGGTTTTGTTCTGTAAAAGAATGGGCCAATTAGGTGAAATTTTGGGGTTTGGATTTCAGGCAAGAGTTGAAATAGAAAGAGGAGCAAGGACGATAGTGGACCAATTCAGAGGGAGAATGGACGGCGTCGATCGCGTGATCAGAAGAAAGACTCTAGTTGAACGGCTAGGATTGAAGAATATTGGGTGCTGTGGGAGCACATGGTCCCTCCGATCAACCACCGTTAGTGAACGAGACGACGATGAAGAAGAGTATGACCCACCGGAACCACAAATTGAGGCCATAAATGTAAACAACGCGCAGCCGCAAATCGAGTCAACTCCAGACTGCATAAATCATTCTCCGGCGGCATCGGGGATGAACTTGGCGGCGGCTTTGGCGGCGGAACGCCATCTCAGAGCAGTGCTAGATTCAGATAATGGAGGAATTGACCCGGGCCCAAGCCCAGCAAGCAACAATGAATGGTACGATGCAACTGCAGAAACCGCACCGAGGACCCCATTCAGAGTGTCGTTAATGAGACTCCTGGAGGAAACGGACTGCTGGGATAGAGAGGTGAAGAAAGGGGAATCAGGAGCAGCAGCAGAAAGCGGGAGTGGTGATTCAGTGTGCTGCGTGTGCATGGGAAGGAAAAAGGGTGCAGCATTCATACCATGTGGGCACACTTTTTGCAGAGTGTGTTCAAGAGAGTTGTGGTTGAATCGAGGCACTTGTCCCCTTTGCAACCGTCTGATCCTCGAGATCCTAGATATTTACTGAGATCAAGATTGATTCTTGAGGTTTGTGATGGAATTGAATCAAACGTTGGTGATGAATTTTTATTATAATGTAGAATTTACTCATACCAATTTTAAGTCCTAATTGATTGATACTGTAACGGGAGAAATCTTATCTTGTGCAAGAGTGATACTTCTTAAAGATAAGTTTTGTACTAGTCAAGTTCTAACGTCCTCATTCAGTTCGAATCCTAACAAAGCTCTCGTTTTCCGATTAAGTTTTGTTGATCATAAGTAAAGAAAAATAGGGAATGATTTAATATTTTATGATTGATTGTTCTACAGAAACTATCTTCGAAAAACAAAAAGAGCTAACGAAGGAAATGATGCAGTTTCTTCACCTTTAAAGAGGAAAAGATAGAGAAGAAAACATTCTTCGGATCATTTTTTTTTTATCAACATTTGTTGATACACAACCTAGTCTTTCTTAGTGGGCCTATTGAAAATAGAAGTTTGTGTTTCCTAAAGTCTTGCAAATCCTGCAATGGAGTACTACATTTTATAAAGGGAAAATTACACAATTACCCGTGTTTAAAGAATCCTTTTCAAAAATCAGATAAGGGAGTTTAATTAATCATAAATCAGGTAATAATTATATATTTTAATATTACTAATGATATTATAATTAATCAACCTCCCCCAATTCTATTTCTTCAATTCATCCCTAATCCAATTTTCAAACCCTAAATATCTCTCCATCTCTCTCTCTCTCTTCACTCTCGTCTCTCCCTTCTTCTCCAATGTCTTTGTCGTGGGTCACTACTCTCTTCTTCACGCTCTCTGTCGTCGGTCTGGCCACTTAGCGCTGACATAAAGCTCCGGCACTCGACAGTCCACCATGAGCTGAGCTCCGACGATCTATTCCGAATGCAAAGCTCGTGCAAACACCACTGTAGAGCTGTGAATGCAGATGTTCTGACCAAAATGAGTGCGAGTCGCGGACGTGCCTGATTTTTTTTGGTTGTTTTGATTTATGGTGGCTAATGGTTGACGCAGTAGCGACGATGGTGCGGTGATGGTGGGTTTGTGCGTCGCCGCACACATTCTCCTTTCTCTACCGTTTCACAGTGCCCCTTGCAGCTCGAAGAAGTCGCACGATGACCGCGAACAGCACAGTGCCGCTGTACCGGCTTCTTGTGCAGAGTCGCTGCAGACCAC